CATTGATTTCCAATAGATCATACCCGAAGTAATGGGTAAGTTTAAAGGTGTCTAATTAAGGAAGGGCTTGGTTCTCCCCTCAAGCTAGCTTAGCCTTTTATATCACTACAAAACAATTGAGTTTTAATCACACTACTTTAGGTGACATATTTTTTTGTATAGTAAAATTTTAAAAAGTGCAGCTATTTAAGCTTTTAACTTCACTTTTTTCACATTTAGTAGCAATATAAAAAAGTACAACTTTTATTAGTGTCTGTAATTTCTATCGTTACATTTTATTCATAATGCATTTAAAATTTATATATAATTAAGTTAGGTTTACAAAAATATTTTAAAAAACATAAAAAAAAGTGTTATTAAAAATATTTTTAGCAGCACATTTTAAAAGTGTATTGTTTTAAGTCAAATTTGTTGTAATGTGCTTAAGACATAATCTAGTTCGAAAATATTATATATTAATAAATAATATATTTTTCATTGATTTTAGTTTTAAAATATTAATTTGTAAATATTTTTTATATTAAAATATTACATTAATGATTGGGTTGAGTTTGAAGCTTTTGAAGATGTGGACTCGATAGGGTTTAGCCTGGCTGGCTTGGCTCATGAACATCTTTATGTGAACATGACTGCATGTGGATTCAAGGAAGGAACAAGCCCTTACCAGTTTGTTTCAATATCAGTTTCCCAAATCCGAACAAGCCGTTTCGGCCACGTTGCTTTAGGTCTAAGAAAAGGACCCATGAAACATCTGGACTTTGTCTTTTGGTTTACAAACTAAAAATATATTATAATTATATTTTTGTTATTTACGTATTTAAAGAAAAGAAAATTGAAAAAAGAGTAAGATTTATAATCTTGTGAGTAACAATCAAAAAAAGGACTAAAAGGATATACTAGTATTGATTTTAACGAATTATAAATTATTTAATATGATATTGATAGAAAATTTTTTCTATTGAGACTATAATTGATAGACATTATTGCTATTCAACCTAATCAATATTCATAAATGATTTGATCATGTTTCGTTATATAGATGTTACATATTAATAATGTAGGTATAATATTTAAAAAAGTTATTAAACTATTTAAAAAATTTAAATAAAATGTTATTGTTTTATTACATTTAATCAAATCATTATACTTATTTTTGGATAATAATAAACTCTTATAACTAACTATTGTTTGTCAAAATATCACTTATCATTTTATGTCACACGATATTCAGGTGACCTATTGACATGTAATAATAGATAATGATAATAAGATCATATGACATTTTAACACTTCACATCAACCCCACACGGTATAAACAATAATAAGTAACATTTTCACTAATTGCATATAGTTAATTAGTCATAATGGTATATTTAACTCAAAATAAAATTACAAAGACTTAATTAAATGTAATAAATAAAAAAAGATTTATTTAAATTTTTTCAAATAGTTTGTAAATTTTTAAAAATATTATACCAATAATATTGTTACGTATCAACTTGCGAAATTAGTTCAAATACTTTTTCTCTTCAGTAAAATACAAAACATGGACCGTATTCATGGCGTTGGGCTTTTGCTTATTAGTTGGCTTCGTACTGGGGCTTTCGCACCTGGTTTTGGTCGTCTATCAATGACTTCTAAATTGCAGGAAAAAGAAAAATAAGGTTTTAACCTTGGGGAATGCTTGTGAACTTGTTTAAGCCTAGTAATAATTTTATGAAGTAGGGCCTGACCTTCCTGATTGATTGCAGCATATTAGTTACATTCTGGACCTTCTCAACCACCAAATCAACAGAATTTACCTCTACAGCTGGCAAATTATATGCAAATCTATGGAATCTCGTCAGGTTGGCAGACAGAGAAAGAGTGGCTGTTCCTGTCACTGAATCTCACTCAATTTGAATAGTTAAGATTTCAGGTTAATTGGTTCTGAAAATTAGTGCCAGCACAAAATATTACACCTTGTACTTCAATGAGAAACACATGTATTTTGGTGGTTGGTGGAGCTGCTTCTCCTTTGCTGCCATTTCTATTCTGTCCCATTTCTGTTTCCTCTTCAGTTCCTCCTGGCAAGCTTCGGATTCCCGACGCTCGATTTCTTGGAGGCACCTATGGTATAGAGTTGGATCCATTTCTTCCAACATGGCCTTGACATTTTCTGTCAATTGCTTGACACTCTTGCTCCAGTGCAGCTTTAGGTTCTTCTCCATGCCTTCAACTACCACAGGAAACACATCGTCCATTGCTGCTGATGCCAACTTCACAAACTGCTCATTGTTCCATACATACAGTGCTCGCTCAGCAACCTGATGTCGAAGTTATATAAGACTAAATCAATGAAATGCAAAACAAACTAAACCCGAACTCGGAAACTAGACGTTTCCTCAATAAGTCTTCTGTCCTGAGTTTGGTTTATGGTTTACCTTCCAACCCCATGTTGTTCTGTCTGGAAAACCAAGCTTCAATTATTATCCAATTCAAGTATATCAGAAAACAAGTTGGCCTCTAAATATGTTGTCATGGGGTCACAGTCAGGACCTTTTACCACCATTAACATGATCTTAACAGTTTCACTATGGAACAAAGGGCTCAAAATTTTCAGACTTGATTGTATAACTTTTCCCTTTTTTTATAATAGCTCAGAATTGCAAAATTTAGTAGCATTAGTGTATCAGATTTCAATTTATCATTGCTTTTGGCTAAGTTTTTACTTCTTGGCAATCAAATTGGAAGCATGAAAGGGGAAATTGAGAAACTTCCATCAATGCCCCTTTTTGAAAAGCTGAATACAAAAGGAAAACAAGTTTCAGAGGAACTATCAAGAAAATTAATGTGTCAAACCTCATCCCTAAGCTTACCTGTGAGTTGCAACTGCTCAAACATCTTGTAATTTGGGTGCATAAAGGCAGAGCCAACTTCCTGTACTGATCGGGATCTATATTCTCCACCAGTTCCTCCAATTCTCCTATAAGTAAAACTTCTTTCTGACAATTGGTGACTGGCCAGTATCTTAGAATCCCTCTAACCACCACTCCACCAAGAGCAGGCTCTTTCTGCACAAACTGAGAAACGCAGTAAGCCAGCTGCCGATGGTAAACCTGCAAACCCTTGGTCTTGTGCAGCGGGAGAAGCACTCTCATCAAGAAGAGCTTGTGCTCCTCTTTTAATGGAACCGCAAAGCCGTTGATGATGCTTCCCCATATCTCAAGCAGCTCACCAATCCCACAATGCCTTTCTGTCTCAAAAACATAGTGCAAAAAGACATCGCTCATTGCCTTTCTCAGTAATGATCTATAGAAGGTGAATCTCGAATATATCCGATGGAAAACATTCTTCAAGCTCTCTCTTTCTCTAGGGTCTTCAGACTGAAAGAGGAAGAGAAGATTGAGAATGAAATGGCGATCAATGTAATCTCGAAGCGTCTTGGGATCTACACTCAGAACTAGCCTAAGGAGAA